ACCACCAGTTCTTTTTCTACTAAATAGTATGGTAAATGTAGAGCCACATGTAATAAAGTTTTGGTCTGTCAGTCTATCAAATCTAGTAGAGTACTATTTATGATAACAGGAATGACCCAGCATGATTGTTTCTCAAAGAGGAAGGGGTGGGGGGGTGGAAATTTAGAGAGCCCATACTACTAATTACTTCCAGCATAGAGCCAGTACTACCACAATCAAGGATTTTTTGTTTCTGATTTCTAAAATATTCAGGTGGTGAATTACTAGGTAAAAGACCTCCTCCACAATCCTATCAAAAGAGTGGTGAAGATACTAGTACTAGTATCACACTTTATCACCAGGTAGTGTGATAGATGATAATCCACCAGCCGGTACTAGCAGTACTACTACTACTAGGAAGAGATCTTCTTTGGTCTTCTTGAAGATTCTTCTTCTTGTTATTCTTGTGTCTACTACTGTGTTCTCTGTTACTAGTAGTAGTAGACAACCAGTACTAGTACTACTAGTAGTACTAGACAAGGATGATGATGGGTAAGAAGGCTTTGCTGGAGAACATTAGTAGGAAGATCAAGGAAGAGGCCTYAACTGATGTAATAGGTATGCATAGAACCTGGTTGTGCCTCCACAAAACCTCTTTGGAGGGAGGGACTGCCCCTTGGAGCAGCTAGGAGCATTCTTTTCTCTAGTCCGGAGAAGTAATGGCTCTGGCCCACATACTAGTGCCTCTTCTAGTTCGCAAGGTTAAACATTATATTAAGATTTTTTGTTGGTTATACTGCTACAAGCAGTAGTAGTAAATGAACAGCAATAATTGTCCTCAGGAAATTCTTTTACTAGCTACTAGTTAGGAAGAAAAAAATCGGGGCAGGCTGTCGTCAAAAGATGAAGATTGTACATAAATCATTATTGTAGCAAGAAGTAGTATTATTACTACTTGTTCTTGCATTTGAAATTTCAATATTTGTAGGAGCTTGTCCACTGTAGCCTTACCAAAAATGAAGTACTACTAGTACTAGGACACTCCACTGTAGTATTACATGATACTTTCTGCAATCAAAATTCCTTTAGATGGAGTTCCGAAGTGAATTTTATTTKAAGCCAAMGCGATCTGAATAAATTTCTCATAGTCCAGTTGCCACGGTAGATGAAAGAGTTGACAATTTTATAGTACATTACAGTCTCTATGGATACATTTTGATGGACTTCGTTCTCATGTTCAGCATAATCTTTGTGATATCATAGAAGACTCCATTTGTGTACAAAAGTATGATTTCGATTAAAGCTAGCGTTGCGTGGTAGTGGCAAAAATTGGAGAGGGGATAGGGAAATGCATTTGCAACTTGCTGTAGACAAGCATTTCGTTGCCATTGCTTCTTATACAAAAATCGGGTCATTATTTGGATAAACAAATRATCTTCTTCTCATTTCTCGAGACCTGTATTCAGTATCATGACATCCAAAGCTGTCATCATACTTGATAGGATGCGATGCATTGTTCATCGAATTGTTGCCGTTGTCGTTCTCGTCAAACGCTATTGATTCTTGTTGTCGCAGATGTGCATTTTCAGCTGACCGAATCAAACTTCGTTCGCTCTCGCACTCCAACGCAAAGCGACCTTCTYCCACTTGCTTGTGATTTCTTTCTGTTCCGTCGCCAATACAGTAATCGGGCTTGTCATATTTTAAGTTGCTGCAGTCATGAGTCAATCTCCTTCGATGGAAGGCTACTACTGAGAATGAACTTCGCGAGTCGTCTTGCCCATTTTTGTATCGTCGTAGGACAGCGAAGCGGCCAGAACTCGAGCAAGATGCACAAATTATAAGCCATAGCAATTGAACGATGATAAGGACCATCTTAATATATCGTGATGAGTAACCGGCGGAGATCATTTCCGAGTAGTTTGATGCTGTGGCAAAATAGCTCTAATTCTTTTAAGTGGAGGGAGTTAGTGTGCTAGAATTGGAATCGTGGTTTCCGTACAGTCGTTCAACTACGAAGAAGTACCAGTTCTGAAATATTCGAGCGTTCAGTGAAGATTCGGGTGTTGTWGTTCTTCTTTTGAATTGTTGGCTGATGATTCATTTGATGAGCTATTTTTCGAAAACCCTTTCTGACAGAGCAACGAAGAAAGAATAGATCATGTTCATCTGCGTTGTGTTGGTCGTTGGTGAAAAATTTCACAACGGAAATTGGAAGTTGAATTATGAAGCTAACGGCTGATCGAGAAGTCATCAGTCATAAGGAATATGCCGTCTGTACSATTTTTCTACGATACTGTACAGCCTGAGTCAGTCACAATTCAGAGTACTTATCGCCCAATCGCTAGGGTACGAGTATACCCGTACATTACGTAATGTACAGTTGAGGGATNAGTACTTATCGCCCAATCGCTAGGGTACGAGTATACCCGTACATTACGTAATGTACAGTTGAGGGATAGTAGGGTTCCCGTCAGAACTTTTTCTACGAATAAAACGTGATTAATTATTTAAGCGCGGTAAAGCAGAAACCTCACCCCCCCCCCCCCACTCGCGGGACCATACAAAACAGAAAATTTGAAAATGAAGGTCTTTGAACTCTCACATTCCTCTTACTATGAGCTGCTTGCACATACCACCAGTATTCAGCTTGTCCTCCAGATACAGTCATTGGTTGCGGCCGCCGCCTTGGTTTTTTTTTTGAAGGATGGCGGCGGCCAAAAAAACTTACTACGGTGCAAAAACTAGGTTATTGCTAGTAGAATGACTTGTTGTCACAATAATGACTGAATGTTTAAGTTAAAAATGAAATAATGTATTTTGGTCAAGGTACTAATTTATTTGCAAAAAATGGTATACCAGGGTTTGTAAAAATCAACACTAAAAAAATTCTTTTTGTTTCTTCGGTAAGTCCAGGGCTGTAAGAATTCTTCAAAGTTACTGGCTACGCACACTAAAGATAGTGAAGTGAAGTGTAGTGCACCGTAGCCAATTCTAAAAATTACATACAGCTCTGACTTGAGCCACATTGACCAAAATTCTAACTCATGTGCTGGTATTGCTCCTCCTCTACTACATCATGTACTGATACCAGCAGTACTAGTACTACTAGTAGTAGTACTAGTACTACTAGTAGTACTAGAAATCTCCTAGTACCACCACCACCACCACCACTCTTGTTAGTAGTACTAGCTAGTAGCTAACAAACATCAAAAGACACACTGTTACTACTAGTGTTGGTGCTGTGGTGACTGGAAAAACTCCTTTGCTCCTCATCCTCTTTATCTCCTAGTATGAACACTACTCATCTGTTATGGATCTAATTCATTCCTATCAGCAACAAGAAATTTAGTGAGCACCTTGTCAGCACCTCAGCACCTCAGCACCTCAGCCGTTAATTGAGCCAACACCACCAAAAGCAATCAGCTCACAAAATACTTACAAGCAGCTCAGTAATACTATACGTAACACTTTAGCTGTGGTGCAGATGATGCAGATGATAGCACAGAAGACATGGAGTAGAAAACAATTACAAAAGGAGCCAAAGAAGTATCTGGTGCTGCTGGCTGTTTGTGACATTTCTTTTTGGAGTAGGCGTCAAAGACCAGCAAATCTTGGGTAAAAAATCTTTATATCATTATATTTAACCTTGTGAACTAGAAGAGGCACTATATGGCCAGAACCATAGCTTTGGGTGTAAAGTATGCTTCTAGCTGCTCCAAGGGGTGGCACTTCCCTCCRAGGAGTTTTGGTGGAAGTGCAACCAGGGGTTGGTTTCACTGGGTTTAGAAAAATTGATTTAACTTGGTTTGGAGTAAACAGGAAAGAGTGAAAAGAGGAGCCAAAGAAGTGTCTGGCACAGCAAGTTGTTTTTGATGTTTCTTTTTGGAGTAGGTGTCAAACAAGACCATCAAATCTTGTGTGACACTCTCCGGTGGTTGTTTACTATGGGGCAATGGTGGGAAGTACTGAGTAATAGGGCGWGTGTTGGAGGCCAATGTGAGTGAGGCCTTSCTGRCACTTGCAAATARTTTTTTCATARACCCCATGGTAATATGTGAGCAAGGAGGTAGGTGCAGTAGATAAGAAGCGAATCTTGGGTGACACTCTCA